TTTATAACCATCAGGGGCACAGACCAAGGAGAGATCAACGGTGTGGATGAAGCACCTCTAATAACGCCTCGGAAGGCCAATCGACGCGACCAATAACGTACAACGGAAAGCCTCAAAAACTGAAGTGGCACCCTTGGCAGGTGGCGGTTGTGCCCATTAATTATGCCAGTTCGACTACAGTACCGGTCCAACCTTTGATGCAGTGACCCGTAGTACCGGTCCAGCCTTAGAGGCGTATCCTCGGCTAGGTCGCTTAAGGCTACAGAGCCGCGCAGTAGTCTGGCCGAGCACTCCCCCTCCTCGATAGCAGAACTAGGGGAGTGGTTCGGGAACCAAAATTTTGATTCTCGTTTAAAGTTCTATAGCCGACGATCGGAGGACTCCTCGGCAATGACCGACACGGCGCAGACGATACGCATGCCCGAAAGTTCCTTAGCCGAGCAACGAACCTAGGGGACCTCGTCCCTCGACTTCGGAACTGGGGGAGTGATGTTGGGGACATGGTTGAGCTAGCCTAGAGGCCCACGACCACCTGTCACAAATCGGCCACGTTGGCGTAGTCCAGTCGAGCTTCGGTATTACCGTTATCCTGCTGACCACGTCAGCTACGCGCCACACGGATTAGCTCGCCTAGCAGATAAGGATGGGAAGACAACTCCACCGAGGAGTAGGACTCTATCCCCTGTAACCTCAGCGGGGGACTCTATCCCGATTTCCTTGGAAGCCTACTCCGACCAGGATAAGGACCCTCCGGCTATAAAATGGTACTCCATGCTTGAGGTAAGGATTCCCAACTTCTAACACACATACTACTACTTAGCTCGGACCAGCATCCCTATAGCTCGACCCGTCCATCCATCACATCCTACTGACTTGAGCGTCGGAGTACCTACCCAGGGATAACTCCTCGAGCCTCTGACTCCTCCTTTTTTGATCTCAGGTCTTGAAGCGTGGCATCGTCCTTGAAGCTCGGCCCTACCCTACCAGCAAGGACTATTTAGTTGCCCTCCTCAGTTCGTGCACCACCTCGGATTGAGCAACATCAACATGGCTTTGTTTGGTATGAATAGGAAGGGAAAGGTAGGAAAATCCATACAAAGTTTGTAAAGGTCCCTTAACTTTTCTTTCCTTTCCCCACTTTTTCCTTCAAACCAAACACAATAAAATAGCCACAGTCTAAGAATTACAAGACTCAACATTTACAGCTAGTCTCGAAAGCTTACGAGTGGCTTTATTACAAGACTCAGCATTGTCCCATTAGTTGAATGCCAATTGGGATTGATCTCTTAGGCTCAATTTGGCAGCTATATATTTGTATTTGTACTGATTCCAAATTGAGCCTAAAACGGCTTAACTTGATAACATTGACCATTGCATCAAATTTTGGATGTATTACTTATGAAACCTTGATTTGAGAAGAAAACCCGCCTGATCACCCACCCTACTAGGAGGTCTGTTTTACTGAAGAAACTTTTAAATTTATTCCTAAGCACCAAAGCGTGAAACAAGTACTTGTTCCTCCATTATCTTACATACATCCAAATGAAAGCATGCAAGTGGTATTATTGTTTCCCTTAGAGTGTCTGTCATAAGAAGATAAAAGCTAGTTATTGACAGGGAACCCTTTTAATTAAATCTTTATATTTAATAAGGTTTGTTTTATTCAATAATGTTGTTTCCATGCACCTTTTCTTTTCATTTTTGGGTCTTCCATGGTTGAGTTGGTTACTCATTTTGTCCAGAAATATATGTTATGTCCAATTCTAATATCTATAATTTATAAGTATAAACTTAAAGCATTGGGAAGGTGTACGTCGACATTTGGAGGTTGACACGTGATATGCTTTTGGCTTGACAAACACGTTCTAAATTATTGACACATGTTTCTCCCTCCTTTCTTTCCTTTACTCTCTCTCTCTCTCTCTCTCTCTTCTTTCACACCTCTCTTTATTTTAGTATTCAAAAATTACAAGAATGCCACATATAAGACAAATATTTTTATATAATTCACTCTATAATATTTAAAAATTACAAAAAATATCACATATAAGACAAATGCACATTCTTTACCTTGCCATGTAATTGCTTCTATGATATTTAAAATTACAAGAGTGCCACATACAATTGTTTGCGATTATGCTATCTTATAAATAAAATGGCATTCCTCTTCTTTCTCTCTCTCTCTCTCTCTCTCCTCATATTCTTTATCTTATATTTTATTTATTCATTTATTTATTTTATTATTATTATCTAAACATTTTATTTAATAAAATTAAATAAATTATTTATTTTAATAAAATAAATCATTAAAATAAAGGAGATGTGACATTGAGAAAGAGATTTTAATAAACATTTATATTATTTATTTATTTAGAAATAATTTATTAACAAATTATTCTTTCCCCTTGAGCCCAATATTTAGGACTGTCAACAGGTTGAGTCTGGTTCAAAATAGCCTATACCAGTCCCATTCCAATAAACTTTTATTTATTTATTTTATTCAATTTAATAAATTATTATATAAACATTAATTTTTGTTTAAGAAAACTAGGGCTAAACCAATGAGTTGGGTCTATCTTGGTGGAGCTAAATTGACTAAACATAATTATAACAATTTTGGTTCCATGATTTTGTCTTGATTAATTATTGGATTGATTCTCGTTCTTACATGTCTAGAATTGATTCAGGTCTGGAACAAAATATTTTATAAAATATATATTTTATTCTTTCTTGTAATTTTTATTGTGTTTCATGTTTGAAATAATAAATTTGATAAATAAAAAATAAGATAATATTAGTTAAAAAGGTTTAACTTATTAACATAAAAATAAATTAGTATTATTTTAACTATTATTTTCAATATAATCAGGTCTCTGATTTGATCCCAATTAAATAATTGGTTCAAGAATGGTTCTACCTAGTCCTGACATGTTGACTAGATTGGGGCCCACTATAATTATTTATTATTCGTAATAATATAATTATAGTTATTTTATTTAAAAAATATAACTGTATCTTCAAATGACATTTTGGGAATTTTCTATTTTACCCCTGAACCCTAGTATATAATTTAAAAGAAATTGGTGGTCTAAAGTGAACCCTCAACAGGGCTCTTGCGGCATGACACATTAGCTACACAGAGTCCATGTAGCACTGTAACAGCATTGGTGCTCTATGCATTCCAGTCCAGGCCCAGGGTAAGTAAATTAATGTGTCATACTGTTATGCCTACTCTGTCGAACGTGGCAAAACCCTTTCTTGGTTTTTGATTGGTCAAAGTTTTTGAGTTATGTTAATGTATGGGCTTAATATAAATATAAATTTGGTTAGGTTTTGATTGATAAATTTGGGTTTTGGCATCAGTATGGGTCTAGGTCATGGTCATGCCTAGGATTAATCTTGGATTAGTTCTATTTTTTAGTGGGGCTATAGAAGCCTGGGGTAGCCCTTCCCCATAAATTATCAATGCTTTGGTGCGAATGATCGATGTTGGTCCCCAGTCCCCACCCACTACACCTTTTGTCAAAAATCGATGTGGATGGTGCAATGGGTCAATGGGTCATGGAAAATCTGGACTGGGTATTTTAATCCGGGATCATAACGGTTCCTTCCTCTTTGGTATAGCCATTCGGGTTCCAACGGAACTCTCGGACCCGTAACTCTCAGAGGCTCGAGATGTTAGGGCAGGCCTTCAAATGGCTTTGAACCTAAATTTTTCTCACATTTGGCTTGAAGGAGACGCATAGAGGGTAATATCTCTTCTGTTGGACAATCATTTAGATGTCCCTTGCCGGCTAAATACTGTTATTGCCGATTGCAGAAACCTTCTGTCTACCTTTTCTCAATCTTTAGTCTCCTGCATCCCACATACAGGAAACAAGGTCCCTCATACTTTTGCCAAATTTGGTTGTACAATCTCAAGAACAATGTCTTGGTCTCTCCCTCCTGAGTTTATCAGACATGCTGAGTTGATGCAATGAAGTTGCCTAAGGCCCTTTTTCAGAAATAAAAAGGACCAATATTGGCTCTTAATTTGACTCAATTCATCTAATTTATGTTTTAGGAAGAAGGAAAAGACTGAGAGAGGGGAAATGTTATTAACATTCTTATTGTAAAAACAATAAGAATGATCTTCTTAGAGAGTAAACATTAGATTTTATTTTTTTAATAATTTACTTTAACAATAAATAACTATATGTATGAGAAATGAGAGGAGGATTCTTGTGTTAGCTCTGTGGTGATTGGTAAGAGAACCCTTAAGATTGAATTCAAGCTAGATTCCATAATTAAGGTTGACCCGGTCTTTAGGTCACCAGTTACACACTATATGTAGTTATGCACGTGAAAAGTTCCCAAAGTCCATAACTTTGAGTTCAGTTATTCAATTGGGTTGATCTTAATTTATATCAATTTTTGGTGATTTTATGAGATCTCTACATTTCAAGGGGCTACATATGCCTTGCCCTGCTATTTTTGTCAAAAGAACCATTGTTTGGCCTCACCTTTCAACTTTTAGTATTTTTGTAAATACATCTTTTATATAAATTAAACATAAAATAATATATATATATATATATATATATATATATATATATATATAATTATACATTGATACATCTTTCATATCCATCCAGCTCTGAATTAGACAACTGATCACCGAACAAATAGAATTTCTTTAGGCTGTGATTGGTTTGAAGGAAAAGTTAGGGAAAGGAACGGAGGTACCCTTTCTATCCTTACCTCTTCCTTCAAACCAAACACCGCATTACGATCAAAAAACTGAATTTCTTCTGCCGTATTTTTACCTTATTTGGCGTTCAAAAGGTGTTTCGACTTCTGACTTCTGGTGAGTAGAATGTGAAGGGAGAAAGAAACAAATAACTAATAATGAAAGCGTTTAACAAGTTATTATTACTGACTATCGATGGATTCCCGCCGGCGACGTTGGAAATCCAACGCCTAATGATCAATATCAATTATCCAGGGATGCCGGAACCCACGTCCCCAGTGAACGGGTGGGGCGTTTGGAAAATAAATTCCCACCATTACTACGTCTTTTTCCCTCCCTTCCAGTGCCTATATGAAGGCATGGCCTTCGACGGGCTGAAACAGGCTTTACCAGAAACCCATCTCTGATTTCGTTCTCTCTGGTTTGATTTAGTAGAAGCCATGGCTCTCAACAAGTTGGCAGTCGTTTTAGCGGTTTGGTGGCTCATGGTCATTGGAATATCCACGGCGGGGGCGAGACAACTGCGTCTTCAGCCCGGTTACAACCTCGCTGCACGACTCGAGGGTGGAGAAGGCGGCATAGCAGATTGTTGGACTGCACTCCTTGAACTACGATCATGCACCAACGAAATAATCCTCTTCTTCTTGAACGGTGAAGCTTATCTCGGCCTTGATTGCTGTCGAGCCATCCGTATCATTACTCGACAGTGCTGGCCTTCCATGCTTAATTCACTTGGTTTCACTGCCGAGGAGGGCGACATACTCCGAGGTTACTGCGACGCAACAGCTTCTCCTCCAACTCCACGAGTGGTGTCGCCGGTGCAGTCTCCATCGGGTCTGGTCCTAACCGGTATGAAGGTTATGGGTTAGGCCATCGGACACGATGTACTGTCTGGGTTTGTCAGGGTAACTCGTGAGCATTGTTGGGTTTTAAGTTATCCTTTTGCTGTGAGTGTCGTTTTTAAGTCTTGTTCTGTTTTCTGAGTGTTGGTTTCTGGTTTTGTGGGGAGCCGATCCTAACTCGGTTGGTTCTGAGTTCTATAATATATATTATAATTACAAAAATCACTGGATTTCTTTTCTCGTTCTTAAAATCCAATAAAGCAATATTTGAATGCGATCAACTGTGAAGATGAGAGCTAAGAAGGTGACAAGTGAGAACGCTCTACCATGAAACTCAACGCTCTAACATGTGACCGCAATAAACTCACTTTCAGTGATATCTAGACTATCCCAAGGAATCTCGTGAGTCCTGAGTCACAAATAGAGTTGGTGCAGTACGTAATCCCAACGATCCAATCTTTCGGTCCTTAACCAGATTCTTTTCATATCCTTGTCATCCAAGAAATGCAGCACATCTGCGCCTATGGTTATTCATTTTGGTTTTTTTTTTTTTTCTCTATGTTTTGCCCAATCAAATTGCTTGTCTGGACTGAAAGTGGGTTGAGCATTTAACACATGCAGAGGATCTTGCCATTAGAGATGCCAGAGAGACCGTTTTGCTTGTAGCAAACTGGAGAAATTAGAGAGTTTAAAACTCTCCAGATTATTAAAACGACTATTGCAATTAATGAAACAAAAGGAATCCAAAACAGTAAAACCACTTGAAATTTTAGAATCACTACTGTGCAGAAGTAATGTTTGCATGTATCCCACACAGAAAAGAATGATTCACAAGTGGTTCTGATCCATTTGATTAAATAATTTCCTAAAAATGTTAATGAGACAACAATATCGCTTTTTTAGATAAAACATTATGTAAGTTTCTCAATAAATATTTCCTATAAAATACTTGTATGGATAATTCCATTTACACACGAATACGCGAATGAGGCCTTATAAAATGTATAACGACCTTGAGTATGCGTTTGCGTGTACGTATTTGCAGTCATCCCCTCATTCTGACTATATATATATATATATATATATATATGGAGGACCATCCTATTAATATTGCGCTATTGAGTTAATGAGTTATGAGCCAGCCGACGAAGCAATGCCATATATCAAAGACCAAGAGCTGCACCTTAAACCCTTTATTTAAACAATGAACTCCAAGGCTTTGCTAATGCTTAATGTAGTCAGGGAATCAGCACGTCTTTATCTACGACAAGTGTTTGTGTCGTGTCATGTCTTGAACTTTGAAGATGAGATGGGAATATTATATAACAAGCGTTGACCTTGCTGGCTTCAACACAAGCTTGAGAGGAAGAGGAAAGAAGGTGGCGACTGAAGAAGTTTAAAGGAAGTGGGAAATCATGTCTGCATCCACCATCGACCCACATGAGAAGATGAGAGGGAGAGATGTTGGTCGCGTGGCTCGAGCCTGCAGCCTCGAGGAGAACAAGCTCCACGCCCACCCCTTGAACCTGCTTCCATTGCTGAAGCTCCGCCAGCACCCACCGCCACCGATGGTCGAAATGATCTCTCTCTCTCTCTCACAACATTACTGATCCTATGATAATCAACCAAACGCGCCATTGCTTTGCACGCTATGTGGTTAGAAGTTCACCCTAGATCACTGCTGTGTCCTTCCGAATGGGTACTCAAAAGTCAAAACTTCACTAAAATTGTAAAACTTATCTTGAAAGGAAGAGCTGTGTCATGTGTCCATACAAACTAACCATATCATTGTGTTTGTGCAGATTGACAAGTGAAATGAACAGAGGGAACTTGGATGGAACCTTCGCCGGTCCTCTTTGAAGTTTCTCAGAACAGTCTCTTCCACTGTTGCGTACAACAACAACGACGATGATGTCATCTTCTATTATATACCTACCTACTTAATGCATACATGCCTGCTCACGTACAACACCAACAACAACGACGACGACATCTCCAGTTACCCAGTCTCTGTTGTGCACTTTTCTACCAGGAAAAAAAAAAAACCGACTTATTTTCATACGGCTCGAAATATTATTACTGAACGTGAAAAATAAAAATTAAAAAAAATAAAAAGGTTCCGGCAGACCCGGACTGGTAATACTAATATCCCAATATCCCCCTCAAGATCGGGGTCCGTCAGGGTTGAGGCACTGGGCAAGTAATACAGTACCAACCGAAGCGGACTTCTGTATTAGTTAGGACTTTGGATCATTCCTGAAATAGGGTTCAACGACGGGGATTCAAAGTCATACTTGTTGCCAGCAATAGCTCAGGTCTTCGCAGGATAACAGAATTCTTCTCCAAACGGTATAACTTTGGTGCTCAACCGTATTGTAAAACAGATGAAAATTGAAAAGTAGAGAGAGAGAGAGAGAGAGAGAAGATGAAGGGCAAATTACTTGAGCAATGATTTTAGCAGTATTGATATTTGCAATGGAAGAAAACAACCTAAAGCGAATTCGTCTGTGAACAGTAGTATCTGTGATACTAAGATAATCGAGCAAGAAAACCACAGTGATAGAATTTACCAGATGTGCATCTGATGTATTGGCAAATAGAAGCTGAACCCACCACACATGATTACATTAAGACTGTTTGGTTTGAAAGAAAAGGTAGGAAAAGAAAGGGAAATGTATGAAAACCTATACAAAATTTGTAAAGGTTTCCTTACCTTTCCCTACTTTTTCCTTTAAGCCAAACATAGCCTATGGAAAAGCATTTAGCTTTGCTATGGAGACACGCGAACAGTGATTTACATTTGGAAAGGGTTACCAAGCCTGCCCTTATAATTTCCAAACCAGATTAGAACATGACAAGTCATGCAAGCACAAACCATAAAGCATTAAGCATTGCATGAAACCCTTCTAGTCACTAGAGTATCCATCCTCATCATCGTCTTCATGTTCTACCACAACCTTCTCTAAAAACTTCTTTCGAACTCCTTCAATGACAGCCTTTTGTGATTGATCACTTCCGCCCCGGCCATCGTTAAGCACAGGATCTGATTGACAGAGAGTCAGTGCAACGCCTGAAATTTTACAAAGAAACAAATAACGATCACTAAACATTATAGCGATTGACAGAGTTTAAACAAGGATCAAGGATGTATAGATGAAAGTATGAGTGTAATTCAAGTTAGCAAGGTTCTTTAAATCGAGGATTATAGTGAAAAATCACATTTTCTATTTCTTCTCAGATCTCTATTTTCACTTGAATATAGAAACAATCGTAATTGTTTACTAAAAAGAGACTTATAGAAATACTTATATGTGAAGTTATCTATGCTAATAACACAAAGTAAATTAAACCTGGCAACTGTTTATTAGCCCTTAAATATTAGACAAACAGAACCACTGACACCCAAATTAAATAAAATGTTAACGTAATGAATGTTCAACAGGAAATTACCTTCAGGTGTGCATCTTCGACCAAAATGGTGCAAACCAACATATGTTCCCTTGACAGCACCGTTATTATACACCAATAGGGTAGGAAGATTACGATCCGGGTAGTTTGGAATGCAGTCTGTCGATATTATTTTGACAAATTTGGTTGCTGGATATCTTGAAGCCAACTCTTCCAGACAACGTAAAAGTAGCCCACATTCTGGAAATCTGCCACAAATTACAACATGAATCAACTAAGAAAAATACTCCTGTATAAAGAGAGAGATAAATAAGATGGATCCAAAATCATAAAAAGTTTTAATTAGCCTCCTAGCTATACAAGATATGTAAAAAACTCCATGTATTAAGTTACCATCAGAAAATACAGTATCGTAGATAAATACTGTATGAACAAGATTGAATCAAATCTTAGAGTCAACCTTTTTTTTTTTTTTTGATAAATGAAGTCAACCTAATTATTGGGTGAGCATCCAGAAATTTGAGAGAAATGCTATATATCTACGAATTCCCATGTTCTGGAGTAGGAACAAATCATCTACTTTACAACACATTATTAATAAACTTCAAGTCTAAGCAGTTGGGAAGCCTGTTCTTTGTCCAAAGCTGGGAAGTTAGTCCTAATGAAATCTGTTCTTCAGGCAATTCCTGTTCATACAATGTCTGTTATACAATATCGAAATCAAGTGTTAAACAGAATTGATGGTATACAGAGCTTTTTGGTGGCGTCAGGAAGGTGTTCAGGGTAAATTTGGGCTGAAATGGGCTTGTGACAGCAAATGTGTACCCCCCAAAATCTATGGTAGTTTAGGTCTCAAGTAAGCTGAATTGATTAATAAATCTCTCTTGACAAAGTTACCTTGGGAGTTTATAAATAAATCTCGTGCTATTTGGGATTTCGGATCAAAGGTTAAAAGCCAAAACTTGTCTCATCAAGGTGTTTTTCCTCAGAAGGAGAAATAGTTCCATTATCTGGAGAGGTTTGGCCGTGAAACTTAGGAATTATAGAAATCATCTAGGCCTCTCTTAATAAAGGTATCCCTGTATATGTTACTTCGATTGTTTCTGTAAGATGGCCAACTCCATTTCTACTAGCATAAAACTTTGGAGAAAATTTTAACAATTTAATCAAGACAGTGTAAATAAAATTAAAACCAAGAAACTCCTTAGAAGCAAATTAAATATTTTTAGTTCTATGTTGTTGTTGTAAAAATTGCTATATGCAACACAGACACAGAACCTTTCTGCTTTAGATTTAGATTTCAAATATGCAAATTACCATGGAAGGGATTAAATGTAGGATACTGAACGCAACTTTAAACAACTTCGACAATAATTTGGATAAGAGAATGTTAAAACAGATAAATTCAGGAAATATCACACAAAACAGTAAAGGGAAAGGCAAAAAATAGATATCTCGCAGACTACCCTTCCTTGTACAGAAACACCACAACCCAAACATCTGGAGAAGCCTGTGACACCTCCCGAACAAAATCTGCTCCTGATATTGGAATCACCGATCCAAATTTTGAAATCCTGGCTGCCTCTCTCATTTCTGCCAACCGCTTCTTCCTTTAAGACAATTAAATTTAAAAAAAAAACATTGATTTCTTCATATTAGAAAAGAAAAGGAGAAACCTAATTTCTACTAAGTTCCATAAAATTTAAAAAATAAGAAGATTGAAGAATAATAAGAACCTGTACTCTTCAAGGAATCGGTCATCATCAAGATCAGGATCGTCTTCAAGCTCTTCAAGCTCTTCTTCAGTTTTCTCATCAATCCATGTCTTGTCTTTGGGTTTGAAATCCTCATCTTGAGATGGAGTGAAGGAGGGAGGCTTGAAAGGAGCAGGTTTGGGAGGTAGGTTACCTAGTTTTCTCTGTATATCGTCCCACTGTGTACTTGCTCCTTCAACATCCTTGTATACAAAGTGATAGTCCGCCATAAATGGATAGATTAAGAACCTACACCAAGAGATTTCTTACTCTCAATCGGATATGATGCATAAACACACATCTTCACTCACCTACTTGTGCTTCGTTACAAAATATTCCTGACAGAATTTTGGTATAAGTTGGATCTAATATAGGTTGCAATGTGAAAAGAAAATTCTGACCATTGATTGGAATCAATTGTAAATCCAGGGGAAGAAAAAGCAAAATGAAAAACTAAACAGTAATTGAATGCAACAAAGTTCCAAGCTGATCAGAAGGGAACAAAAGTAGAGAGAAGCGGATCCATTTGGTCCTGTCATGTTCTTAGGGAAATCAAGTCTGACAAGCACATAGCACCTACATTTTAGATGTTACAAAAGTCAAAAAACAAAACAACTCACTGTTCAATGATCTTGCAGCAATTCCACTCATACCGGAATTGTCGCAGATGGAAGAAATGAATGTGAAAGTATGGGGTCTTTATCGCAAAGGCCGTCACCAATCACGAGGCAGCTGGTGGAAATGATTACTTTTTTAGATGGAAGATTCGGGTTGATATGAGGAAAGAGGAAGAAGTTTGAGGTCAAGTTGTTTATCTTATAATATTAAAACTAGCAGGAAACCATGCAATTCATGGGTTGACAGAAAAATCAGATTAAGTAATGAAACCAAATCAAACCTATTATAATTAAATTAACAAATGAAACATACAATTAAATCAAATTAAGAAAACAAAAAAGATTATAATTAAATGAATATATCATCACTTAAATTAAAAAGGCATAAAATACAATAGAATTACATCACAAGCAGGCACCAACTTTGCTATTCGATTTTTTTCATTCCATCAAAAGTAAAAACTCAGATTGAGAAGATGCAACAATATTTTTTTATGGGATGGTGGTGGAGAAAAAAGATGTCATTTAGTAAGTTGGGAACAGGTGTGTAAGCCTAAGGCCATGTTTGGGAGTGCTTAAGTTAAAAATAAGTGCCTATTGAATAAATGCTTAAAAGCAAGTGCTTATTCAAATAAGCACTTATTTGCATTTGGCACCCAAATTTTTCAAGTGCCTTATTTTTTAAAATAAGCACTTATTTTATATTGGGCATTTGGTAGCTTTTTGTCTAATAAGCACTTAAATAAGCATTTGTGACTATTTTTTCATTTTCTTTCAAATTTTCAAAATATACCCTTTGAAAGCACTTTTAAGAAAGTACTTTTATTAAAGCATTTTACAAAAGCACTTTTATAAAAGTACTTCTATGCAAGTTTTATAAAGTGCTTTCATAAAAGTACTTCCATAAAAGTTCTTTCGTAAAAGTACTTTAGTAAAAATGCTTTCATAAAAGTACTTTTATAAAAGTGCTTTCATAAAAATACTTTTAAAAAATGCTTTCGTAAAAGTGCTTTCATAAAATTCAACTAGGGATAATTTTATAAGTGGTATTTTAAAATTCAACTAGGGATAATTTTGGAAGAAAAAAATTGAACAAGTGCTTATTATAAGCACTTAAAAAAAGCTGGAAATTTGGGCTTAAGAAATAAGCACTTATTTCAGGCTTATTTCCCAAATACCAATAAGTGCTTAATGGCCCAAATAAGCACTTACTTTTAAGGGAAAGTCCCGATTAGTACCCTGTACTTTGGACCTAGTGTCACTTTGGTCCCCAAACTTTAAAATGCGACAATTCAGTACCCAAACTTTCAAAACATGACAATCCAGTACCTGCAATTAATTAGCTATTAACCAGCCATTAAGTGGCATTTGAAAAAGACACAAGTGCCCATCGAGTGTCATTTAATTTTCTTTATCAACCATCCAAACATTGACAAAAAATTAACAGTCCCAAATCCTTGCCTTTTCCATTCAAGAAAGTTGGTGTCACGTTTGAGTGGGCATTCTGGTGACCCCAACTTTCTTGAATAGAAGAGGCAAGGATTTGAGGCTGTTAATTTTTTGTCAATGTTTGGATGGTTGATAAAGAAAATTAGATGACACTCAAAGGGCACTTGTGTCTTTTTCAAATGCCACTTAACGGCTGGTTAACAGCTAATTAACAGCAAGTACTGGGTTGTTATGTTTTGAAAGTCCGGGTACTGAATTGTCACATTTTAAAGTTTGGGGACCAAAGTGGCACTAGGCCCAAAGTACAGGGTACTAATCGGGAATTTTCCCTATTTTTAAGCACTCACAAACATGAGAGGAACATAGTTCTTGGAAAATGGTTGTGGAGGTACCCTCTTGAACCTAATACACTTTGGACAGCCGTCATTAAGAGCAAGCATGGGTTGAATGCTAATGGTTGGGATAGCAAAAGTCCACTTGATCCAGGAGAACATGGAAAACCCTTGGAAAGGTATTTCCTCGACTTACATTAAGTTTATTGCCTTTGTCAGGTACTCAGGTATAGAGTGGGGGATGGAAACGAGATTAAGTTTTAGACTGACCTCTAGTGGGGAAACCAAACCTTAGCTTGGGGAAATTAACACTTGTGATCTGATTCAGAAAAAGAGCAAGGGTAGTTTATGTATTTCCCCTCGTGTTTGCATCTTGTTCCCCCATGGTGGTGAATCTACCGAGCACCTCCTTCCACTGCTTTGAGATGAGGAAAATCTGAAATCACTTCCTGCACCTTGTTGATTATAGCTGGGCAGCCCCTGAACATGTATCGGATCTTCTTAAGCAAAGGCATGGTAGGGGTTTGGGCAAGAGAAGGAAAGCTTATTGGAGCATGCTGACTCATGCTTTGAGGAGTTGGGAAGAAAGAAACATACAATTTTGAAAACAAGGCAAGAACCACTGAAGACCTTATTTCCTATCCTACATAACACTTTTGTGCAATACATGGGTTACAAGCATGGAGGTTTTCAAAGGCTTCACTTTTTTGGACTCACAAAGGAGCTTAGTGGTAATTTTACACTCCTCTCCCTTGACTCCATAGTTGTCAAGGTGTTGCCTAGGTGCCCGCCCAAGCAACTAGGCGCTCTTGGCTGGGCGTCTCACCCAAACGCCTTGACTTTTAGCAACTAGGCACCCTGCCTAGGCGACAAAAATGACAAGGCGGGTGCCTTTTATAATATCATTTGTATTGCTGTATCATATTAATGCATGTGCTAATACATTTTATTATATGCTATATATATATATATATATCAATTATATTTTGTTTTAATGTTTTATTATTGAAATTTAAAAGATCATAGGGTTTTGAGGAGAGAAAAAAGAAAGAAAGAAAGAAAGAAAGAAGAAAAGAAAGAGGAAAGGAAGAATAGAATTATAAAGAGGTTCTTTCTTTTTCTATTCTCTCTGTCTAATTAAATAAAACAAAAACTCCATCCTTGTTCTTTTTCTATTTTATTTTCCATCTTGAATATTTATCATATAAAGTTAATAACCTTCTTTAGCTGCTAATTGATATAAAATTACTCTATTAATACTTATTATAGTAGTATTGTTTTTGAAAATAATGCAATTAATATATGTAAAAGATTTTTATCTTTTAGATGTGATGATTTACCACATTTTTAGGGGAAATTTAATGTTCTTAATAAAGAAAATTGCTATTTTTTCACTTAATATACATGTTGAATGGTATATTAAACTAGGGAACTAACCAAAAGCTAGTTTTTTATATTATAAAATTTTTATTGCCTAGGCAACTAGGAGACTAGGTGCCCCAATGTTGCCCAGAATCGCCTAGATGCCTTGAAAATTATGCCTTTTTTTGATAGATGCCTTGAAAACTATGCTTGACTCAAAACTCTGTTCAGGTTCTCCCAGTTAGGGAGGTGGGGACAAGTTTAAGCTTTGATGGAAATGCTATAGGATATCTAGGGGAGGCTGGGACTGAAGGTGTGATCAAGAAGGAAGATGGAAATATTTGTTGGGCCTTTAGTGGCCCAATAGGTATTGCAGACTCCAAAAAAGTTGAGATTCTGGCTATCTTAACAGGACTCCAAATTGCACAAAAAAAAGAAAAAGGGACTTTCTCTCCTAACCATCGAAGGAGACTCTGCAACACCAATAAATGGTAAAGAGAGATGGACAGTGCCACTGGATGAGGGAAGAGACATTATGGCCAAGATGACTGTAAAGACTAGGTGGATCCCTAGGGAACTTAAACTCTTTGGCCGATGGTTTAGCCAAATCTGGGATCCATAGGTTTTCTTTGTTTAGTGGTTGCTTCCTGCCCTTGTAGGCTGGTAATCTCTCTGGAGAGTTTTCAGTTGTACATCTTCTCATGTACCCAGTATTAATGATTTTTTTTTTATAGGAAACAGTTACCCTGTATTAATGAATTTCCTTATTCCCTTTGAAAAAGTCAAGGATTTAGAAGAAATTACAACCGAGCCATACAATTGCAATATGAAACCACAATTTTACCAGGATAAAAAATATTATTCTGGAAAACTTAAGAAGACTTCAGGGTTTATTGTGCATAAGAATCAAATTCAGAAGAAATCTTACCAATTACTTGTTCCGAATCTCACTTGCCCCCTTTCTCTTCCTATGGAAAATCTCAAGAAAACGAGAACTGCTTGCTATACCTCACTTCGGTGACTTACGTAGATTCAAATTTAAAGGTACAGTAATCCACCATGGGAGAGAAGGAAGACGAAGAAGAGGGGAGCATACCTATCACTAGGGAATGGGAGCTCTCCAATTCTCTCTGGCGAAGGAATGAAAAGGTTTTTTCAAGATCCTTAGCGATGGATTCAAACACGAGGGAGCTCAGGGGCTATTTTTACGGACGCTTCAGATTTGCTAGTTACCTACTTTCTAGATCCATTGCTACATCCCACATAAAAAAGCGCCACCTGTCTTACATCCATGTGAATTCTAAACACATGCAAATAGTAGAAAGCATTGAGGCTGTGTTTGGTTTGGAGTACAAGTACAAGTCTGTAGGGTATGAATACAAATTATTTCAATCCAGCCAAATGCAAAATAGAGACCTGTAGAGGATTGCATTTGTACAGTCTGCATGTGGGAGAAAGGATGCAAATAGACGATGCATTTTTGTTATCATTTGTTTCAAAGACGTAGTTACAAATACATGGTCGATCTCTGTTTCCCATCCATTCGCCAATCCGTTCTATTAAAAACCATATCCACTGTTAAATTATTAGTGCAGTAGTGTTTAATCATTTATTACTACTTCTAACGGGAGCTGTTGGTGGTCTTCTATGCATGTGACTAAACCATCAAACCTACTTTCCACCACACCCATTTTCTGATCATGTTGTCTCTTGACTGCCCAATACTCTACTCCATACAACATAGTTGGCCTTACAACTGTTTTATAGAATTTTCCTTTTAATCTAAGTGGTATTCTCCTATCACACAAAAGTCTAGATGCAACCCTCCACTTTGCCCAACCTACTCTAATTCTCTGGTGACATCCTCCTCAATATCTACCTTGTTATGAATTATTGAACCAAGGTATCGGAAATGATCACATTGAGTTATCTCTTGGTTTCCACTGTTACATGTATCCTAATTTACACTCCTATTATTACTAAATTTACATGTTACATACGCTGCTTTAGTCCTACAGATTTTAAAACCTCTTGTTGCTAGGACATTTGTCCATAAGCTTAATTTTGCATTTAATCCTTTATTAGTTTCATCAATTAAAATTAAAATGAGAATCAAGAGATTTGGTGCCTAGAAAATTTGAGATTTTGTCTCAATTGGTTCAAATGAGACTGGAATCTCCCGTGTCAAGACCTTAAAACCTATGAGAGCAACACGATTGAAACATATAACATCAGTTTTTTTTTTTTTTTTTTTTTGCAAAACAATTCCATGCGTATAAAATCTCAAGTTTACTAATAATAAGTTCAAGTTTACTAATCATAGATCAAGTTCACTAACTACTCAGGCAATCACTGAACTGTCATGGTTGCTGATGTAGCAACCATGAAAACTTAGCTCATACTAGAACCCTCAGGAGGAAGAACCCAGTCCATAGAAGGTACAACCTTTGTAATGGAGAGAGCTTCCACTCACCAGCAAGTTCTGCTAATGTCATCTGCAATGAAGATCCAGAACTCAACTGTATTCTTTTAACTAGTGCATTCACTTTGGTAAATTGCACCATTCATTATTCTGCCTTTTAATATCCTTGAACTTTTCTAGAAAAAAAATATTGATAAAAAAATCATAGAAAAGATTTAAGGGGGGAAATAAAATCTTAATATCAACCATGACCTCAAGAGGGAAGGGATATTGCGATGATACAAAAGTCTTCTGGGGTGGTGAGAGTTTTCTAGAAGGGCCTTTGGGACAAAGATGATCCATGCCAGGAGGATGAGATTGTGGAGGAAGATTGAGGCCTCGGTTGTTGTGCAAGGGGGGATTGCATTTCTGATCAGAGGTTGGGTTGGCTGTAAATGCTTTCATGGGGATCCCTCGTGGGTTTTTTTCCCTGGCCTTTGCTTGAGGTTGATTTGATTGGGTGAATCTTAAAGTTTTGCTAGTTATGTGGCTTTTTGGGTTTTAGTATGTGGTTTTTTGAGGTCTTTTTAGGTTCATTAGGTGTGTTTCCTCTTTGGGTGATGTCTTGTCACCTTTCCATTGTATTCTTTTCCTTTTTCTAATGAAATTTATTTTTATTATTCATAAAAAAAAGATACAAAAGCCTTCCACCCTCACCAGCCAATAAGCTAATCCAATGCATATGGCCAGCTACTCCAGTGCATACATTCAATATATTTATGTTCAGAAAAACATGCACAACAATGTTAGTGAAGCAGGGCTACTATCTATGATTAAGAAATCAGATTGGTTCAGATTTATCACCAGGCAAATCAAAATATAGAAGCTGTATGTAGAATGGGTTCAGGCTCAGTACGAGATCTACACACACTCAATGAAAGAAATAAAGAGAGGAAGCGCCAGAGTATAAATGGCAGATGGGATACCTGCAGGCAGTAGCAGATTAGATCCGTTCAGGTCTTCAGGATTGTAACTAAAAATGGAAGGAGAAAAACAGTTGGCCAATACCTAAAGCAGCAAATTGCAAAACCAATTCAATAAAAGAGAAAAAAAAAAACAAACACCATTTCAGCGCATTTACATTAGCAGATTGAAGGGAAAATTGATGGTTCTCACCAGATCTAACAATGGTGAAAGTGATGGTGTTTCTCACCAGATCTAAGATCAGTGAAAATTCATTTGTTCAGATCTGTTTATTGAAGATCTAGATCAATAAGTTTTTTTAGGTCGGATTAATGATCGTACCCAGTGCTAGAGGTGTATGCCTCATGCACACCTCATGTAAAAAGACAAAAAAAAATGAAAAAAGAAAGAAAGAAATGGAAAAAAAGGAAGGGAAAGGAAAAGAAAGGGAAGGGAAAGAAAAAGAAAGAAAGAGAAGAAAAAAAGAGAAAAAGAAAGAAAAGAAAAGGAAAGGGAAGGGAAGGGAAGAAAAGATAAGGGGAAAGAAAAATGAGATTCTTCTACCTCTTCTTCCTCCTCATCCCCCCTCCTCTTATGGAAGCTTACACCTCCTTGTGTTTGGAAGGCTTACGCCTCTTAGTCTCTTACGTTCTAAACTACGCCTCACATCTCTAGGTAGTGGAATGCATCGCATCATGCCTCCGCGTTTTAAAACATTGATTGTACCTTGGTCGACGACAACAAGGAAGGCAAACACAATAACCGTTGTATCACCTCCAATGAGAAGCAAAGAGAGACGGGAGCAAGATAGAAATTTTTACATCAAAAAAGAAGAGAGAAGAGTTTTACATCGAAAAAGTCAATGTTAACATTACACCGATTATCGATGTAAAAACTCTCTTTAATGGAATTTTACATTGATTTACGACACATAAAAATACCACTATCAAACACATTCAAAGTTGGACCTAGTGCAAGTTTACATTGGTTCGGAGTTTACACCACAAGCAACGTCTCCAAAGGTTCAACTAATGAATAGAAGGTAGACTGAAAACCATGAAGGCGTTTGGCAAGTCTTTTTTAGGAAGATCTTCCAAAAGCACAAGACCTCAAAAGACTAATGAGCTTTCACAGGTAGATCTTCAAAGACCAAAGGTCATTTGATTGCAATGTTTTTAAAGATCTTCTCAAAAGCTAGAAAAACCAAAGATCGTTTGGTTGCACTTTTTTTAAAGATCTTCTCAAAATCTAGAAAGATCGAAAGACCGAAAGACCATTTGGCAAGGGTACTTGTGGGTCCTTCTTACATACATGTGAAATGTCATGTGTGGTTACATCTTTTTTTATCATGAAAATTGCACTAGAAAGAAGAAGATAATATCATGAGCAATGTATGCCTTACAAATTCACTATGCACCATGCATCTTGAACATTGTTTCATTTAAGTTGGGTCCACAATTAGTAATATAAGATGGATTTGTAAGGTTTGCAAGAAAAAGAAATTATATAATTATCATTTTTCTAATATTATCTCTCACTAGGTGAGACTAAAGCACAAGAGCTGCTCTAGATAACCAATGATGCTTCAATGTGGTTTACAAGAAATTATTAAAAGTTGTAAGGTTTGCAACAAAATCACTCTAGCAAGGGCAAGAGTGAAAAAGAATGCTTCAGTGTAAGGCACACCCAGCCTGGGATTGCATCTACAACTTGTTTGACTTTTTTTATAAGTAAGAAGATTTTATTATTAGAAAGTTAAGAGAAACAGTTACAAGTCTTCAAGGAGAGGCACAAGCTGCGATCTCTCCCAACAGTCAAAACCAAAAACAAATTACAACTGTGCTCAATACAACTGTTCCCTATTTTCCCCTTGCTTGGCTAAGCTATCAGCCATAACTTGTTTGACATTATGATGCAAGTGTGTCAGCCTTCAGCTTTGCTGCATGTCTTCTGTTCCAATCTTTTGGAATGTAGGATTTTTCTCCCTTCACTAAAATTCTAAGTTTGATGTTGCTGATCAGGGGAAAGACAGAACCTTCTCACATGGGAAAACATCTTCAACAGGTCAGAAGACCAAACAGAGGCTTTCATTTCAGCCTCAAGCAAAGATGACCCTTTAAATGAAATACAACCATCATTGGGGAAAAGAGAGGACATTGTCTCTCTTTTTTTTATGGAAAAAGGTAACTTTCATTCAAAACGAAAAGGAAAGGATGTAAGTTGTTGTTGTTGTTGTTGTTGTTGTGTGTGTTAGAGAGAGAGAGAGAGAGAGAGATCAACTATGCAAAAAAGCATGATAGCAGACTAAAAAGAAGTAAAGAACTAGTGACAAATCAACTAAACTGTGTAAAGGGAAAGAAGTTAACAGAAAGTAGGCATAAGGAATGAAGGAGAGGAAGTAAAATATAACAGATAATAGATAAATGGGATCACTAATTTATAAATAAAAAGAAGAGATCATAAATTCATACAACCAAAAACAGAGAAAGAGAGCTTTTGGACTAAATTGCAAATGGGAAAGGTATGAACACCAAGAATAAGTCAAAATGACCAGACTACATTTCAAGCAGAATTAGGTAGTGCAAGCATTTTTTTTCTCCACCCTTCTACCATTAGAAAGACAATTTAAAAAAAAAAGAAAAGTAATGGACAGAAATACCACTGTGAAGGGGGTTAAGGGGCCTACCAGCTGACAAGAATGAGAAAACAGGTTTGAGGTCTGAGAGTGGTTACTTCATGCTAAAAATGCCGAAGGTTAGGCTTGTATCTGGTCCATCCCTCCCAAGACCCAGGTAGCTGGGACCAACATTGTAGGGTTTGCCTCCCACAACCTCCTCGTAGTGGCCTTGCAGCACCCAGTCTGCATGCTATGCTTACAATAAGAGCTAATCAAAATTGACTATGTAAGTATATCAGGAGGGCATCTAAAACCTGGCAATTCCATTTGTTCCACTAAAAAATTTTGCTTGCTTAAAAATTCCTAACTTTACAAAGAGCACATATGACCATATTTTAAGCATAAACATCAGGTTTACACTGCAGCTGCTCCATCCGATAAAATGCTGCCAATGCATCATTAGCTAAGCCCTCCTCTCCAAGAACTTTTATCAAACAGGTGATAGTAGCAGTTGTCACAAGTTGTCTGTTACCTTTTCCAGCCATTTCTTTAAGAAAATTCCGCAGCATTTTCAGCCTATTCCCTTTTGGCCAATACACAGGCCATCTCCCTACAAGTACTCTCATATGGGTAAGATTCTAGTCGTAGATTTCTGTCTAAAAGGTGCCGGTGCCTAAAACCTTTTTGGCGTTCAATTGATCTAGCAGATTGGAAAAAGAATCTAGGAATGGATCTCAAAACTTCACAGACAGTCTCAACAGTCCATGGATTGAAATTGAGCCTAGTAATTGCGGGGACAGTTTAAGCATCAAAAGGTCTGCCTTGGGGCATAACAACCAGCACTTGACTCAAAAGGGTAGTACGAAAAATGATGAGAGATTTTGACCAGTGAATTGAGGGGGAAGAAGCATATCGACGTCTTTGAGGAAGGAATGTGAGAGGTTGTCGCTGTGGGAGGAGTAAGATAATCAACACCAGCATTTCACTGTCATGGAGTTTGGTTAGTCCTCACTGTCAAAAAGGAATAGAGTTTTTGGAAGGGAAATCAAATACGGTTGAGATCTAGTAATAGCAAATTATTTGGGCGGATTCGGAAATTGATGCATTGAGCGTGGAGAAAGATGTAGAACGTTAAGAAAAAGTTAAACCTTAACCGTAAGGAATTATTTGAACGTGGAGAATATACATTTAAAGCCACAATGCATCAATGGAATCAGAAAAAAAAAAAAAGAAAGAAATGGCGGTTGATTATACCTAACACGGTGAAGAACGGCGAGTCTCGGTTAGTACTTGTGAAGAGAAAAGAAGATTAAGTAAAAATGCAGAAGAACGTACCTGTGTCGATGGTTCTCAGCCGCTGGGCAGAGTTTCCCTCAGTCGAAAGTAAGGTGTTGCGGTCGACCCTTTTTCGAAATAACGTACAGGGAAGTTGAGAAATAGCGAATAGATCATAATTCGGATTTGCTCTTCACATAGCCCGCCTCACATTAACCTCACAGCGCATCACAGCCGCTTTCATGAATGCTAATGGGAGATTGGGAGATGTATTCGCTTTGAATTGGATCTGCTTCTAACACAGAGCGCCTCACTCCGACCTCACATGCACATCTCAACATTTCCGTGAATAATAACGAGTAACGGTATAAATACGGGAGATGTAAGATGTGCGTGTGAGGCGCCCTGTGTGAGGAGCAGATCCGATCTCTTTGGCTTTTACAGTCTTTTTGGTCTCTCTCTTCTGGCCTAGCGAGTTGGGACCTGCTACTCACGGAATGCTCCTCAGCCGTATTCCCACAGTGTATTGTGATTTGTGAACATCTCCCTATGAATAATAAATATAAAGGATTTTTCGCGATGGGTACCCTATGCTTAAGGCCAAGTGTCAATTTAATACCCTAATTTTAAAATGCAACAATCTAATACTTACTTTTATTTTGCAACGATTCAATACCTGATGTTAACTCACGGTTAGCCAGACCATCACGTGATATCAGGTGCGCTTTAAACATTTTCTTAATACCAAAACTAACCTGAAAAATTTCGAACCTTTTTACCCTTTTCCCTTCCTATTCCCCTTTACTCAACTCCAACCATTTTACGTCGTATTAACTCTCGCTCTTTATTTCGAGGATGCTTCACCCAACTCTAGCGACACATTCGAGTGTATTATCTACTGTCTCAGCTCCTCAATTCCAGCATCCAAATCTACATCAAGGTCAGAAACACCAACACGTCGACCATCAACACCATCCAGTGTATCTACTGTCTCTGTTCCTCCTGCACAGTCTTCTTCAACCACCAAGCCAGTTTCAACACCAGCAAGAAATCCAGTGCCATTACGTGGTACTTCACCAACTGTTAAACCCAGACCTTGGAATCCATCAGAGATGCCTGATTTCTCACTGGATGCTCCTCCAAATTTAAGGACATCAATGCCAGAAAAGGCCAGTTTCAGCCTCTAGAGGTAGGCCTGGAGCTCCGAGCACTCGATCATCTTCTGTTGGGCCTAGTTCTAATGGAAGACCTAGACGACAATCATGTTCTCCTTCACGAGGCCGGTCTCCCAATGGTATTATCCATAGTAATGGGAGTTCTATTCCTGCAGTGAGTCGATCACACTCAAATGGTAGTGACAATGTGAGCCCTGTTTTTATTGGAACAAAAGAGAGATCTGTAAAGCTAATGGAGTGCTTAATCGTGGCTTAGCTTGTCTCTGTCTTCAAAATCTGGAAATCGGTGGATTTCCAGGCAATTGAAGTATGTGTGGTGAACCGGAGCGGTTAAAGTCCACCTCATCATTGCCGTCTTCTCCTCCATCCTCCGAAGAAAGAAAAACCCCATGAAAAGCATGAATCACCTGACGGTAGAAACCAGATTTCTTCTAGAAATTACTTGAGCTCGCGGCTAACAATGACGTTAAAGGCTTCAAGCGTTCGTTGGAGCGTGGTGCCTCTGCTATCAATGAGATTGGTCTTTGGTACGTCCGCCAGAAGGGCTCGAAGCAGATAGTACTTGAGCACAGAACTCCTTTGGTGGTTGCTGCGACTTATGGTAGTATTGATGTCTTGAAGCTAATCCTTGCTCTATCCGTGGCTAATATAAATCGTTCCTGTGGCCCGGAATTCAGTGGATGCCAATGGCCACCGGCCTGCTGATGTTATTGTTGTATCTCAGCTCCCTAATGTGAAGGCTGCGCTTGAGGAGCTCCTGGCGAGCAATGGTTCTGATGGTTTTTCTATTGGAGAGCTCAATCTGTGGGTTTCCGCAACCACATCGAATTCAAATTCACCCCCTTTGTCATCATCCCCGGAAAATGTATCTCCGTCGTTTGCCTCAGACTCGACTTGATCACCCTGTTTCTTCAGCAATGGAGAAAAAGGAGTACCCTATTGACCCATCTCTGCCTGATATCAAGAACAGCATCTATGCAACAGATGAGTTCCGCATGTTCTCCTTTAAAGTCCGCCCTTGTTCCCGAGATTACTCTCATGACCGGTTCGAGTGTCCATTCGTTCACCAAGATGAGAACGCTCGCAAGAGAGACCCAAGGAAGTACCACTACAGCTGCGTTCCCTGCCCTGATTTCCGAAAAGAGGCATGTCGACGAGGGGATTTGTGTGAATACACGCATGGCATTTTTGAGTGTTGGCTTCACCCGGCGCAGTACAGGACAAGGCTGTGTAAGGATGGCACAGGTTGCATGCAATGAGTCTGTTTCTTTGCTCACACATCTGAGGAACTGCTCCCCCTGTATGTCTCCACCGGCTCTGCCATTCCTTCTCCCCATTCAACTGCTTCAGCGGCCTCCGCCATGGAGATGGCTGCAGCCATGAGCCATCATCTTTGGCTTGGCCGCCCTTTACGCCACCCATGTCTCCATCTGCAAATGGTATTAACCATCATCTTTGGCTTGGCCGCAGCCCAACGTCCCAACCTTGTATCTCCTTGGAAGCAATTTTCAATCCAGTCGCCTGAGGCTGAGGTCGTCCCTCAACGCAAGAGATATTTCAGTTTATGACTTTCAGCATGTTGCAGGATTTTGAAGCCCAACAACAACTGACGACTTCAATCCAGTCGCCTGGGGTCATTTTCGTTATTTTGAAAATTAATTGATGCATTACTCGAAACAAATTGTGGGTAATTATGTCTTTTTGTATTATGACTGAGGGTGAATTAAGGCTGAGTACTGAATTGTCCCAAAATGAAAGTTTGAGTATTAGATTATCGTGTTTTAAAGTTCTAATATTAAATTGTCACTCGACCTAAAGTATAGGGTACCTATTGGAAATTTTCCTTAAATATAAATATAGAAGATATTCTAGATTTGCAGCTAGAAAATACCTTTTTTTTTGTTTATCGAGTTCACAAAATCCAGTCAGTCATCTTAATGGAATACTTGAAAAAAGAAATTAAAAACTTGGGTAAATTACAAAGACACCCGTACTATGGGGTCTGTGACAAAGACCCCTCTGTACTTTGTTTTGCGACAAAGACCCCCCCGTACTATGACCGTGAGACAAAAACCCCTTCCGTTAAAATTTGTCGTTACAATATTTTTTAATCTCCATACTACCCTTATAGATTCTACAGACAAAAACCAGTCATCTCTGTACTTTGTTTTGCGGCGGTAATCCACATTTCTCTCTCTCTCTCTCTCTCTCTCTCTCTCCCAATCTCTATTCTAAACCCAAATGCAACAGATTCTACAAAGTCTTGTTCTCTCCCTTTCCCCAAGTTTTAATAGTTATTCCTTCAAATCTCGCCCCAGAGGCTTCTTACTATGCAAATCAAGATCCTTCATTTTTTTTGTCAGGCTCAATTCTCCAGCAATTTTGATCTGTTCATAACATATCTCGCTATCAATTATCTCGATCGATTCATCTCCAGACAAGGAATGCCGGTAAGTAAAAGATAAGTTCGCCAAGTTTCCACTGTATCTTATCTTTCTCCTTCTTCTGTTATTTATGTTGTGGTCACTCCTAAAGTGATGGTGCGCGATCTGGATACTCCTAGCTGGAAGATGATCTAAACACCAGTTGCGTGACGAGCTAGACCAAGCTGCAAGATAATAAATCAGAGAACCCAGGTGGCTAACCAGGCGAGGTCGCTCCGATGCTTAAGTCAGTACTATATGGATGTGAGTTGAATACTTGAATGCTAGAGTGCTAGTGAGCAAATAATCGCGCATACCTTTGCCTTGAGGTTTGATGTCCTTATATAGTGGAGTAGTCATGGATCTTACGAAAAAGCTCTGGGATCTCCAGGCTGCGCAGATAAGATCTGTTCCGTTTTTTAAGGAGAGCAATGTGTCGGTTGATAAGGTTTATCGCTTTCCTCCGATTTGGGCGGAGTGAGGATGAGTCTTGTCGTGATCCCGAGAAATTCGGGGTCCGTTGGGGAGACTTCTGGAGTCGATTACGTGGCACTTTGGCTCTTTAGCCCCAAACTGGTACTTCAGTTCTTTAGCCCCGAACTGGATTGGGTGTCAAGGTGCCTTTGTGTCGAGGTGGTTTTGGGCCGATGTGATTGAATACCCAAGCTCTAATTGTTGCGAACTAGGTTCTTTTGGCTGAGTTGTCACCCCTCGAGCAGATCGCGCCCACGTGACCTCTTCTTACTAGGTCGTGCCAAATCACCCTTCATCAATTGCCCCCCACTCCTCGTGCCAGGGGTCCTGACCCGGTGCGGGGAGTTCATGATGAGTCCAGGTGGACTTGGCATGGAGGGTGGACCGTTGGTCGGACCTGTTCAATCATCCAGCTCAACCAGGAAATGACCCAGATCACATCTCGGCTACGCGCAGACGTCACACTATTTATAAATTCCGCGGACGTCAAAGGGCGCGCTCAACCGATTTCATCCTCGGGTAGCGTGTAGTTGGTTTTCATGGAAGTCATCGGATCGCACAGATCTTAATCGTCGATTGTTAGATGTGGTGGATTATAAATAGGGGCCGAAGGGCCCATTATCCTCACCATGAATCGTGTAATTGAGCTTTACTGAGATCGCGTCGGAGTCCTTTAGCTCACCATTCTCTCCCCTTGTGTTTGAGGTCGTTATCGCCTTCTTTGGTGAGTTCGTCTTCTTGCACTGATTGTTCCCTTTTCCTTTTTCTGTCCAATTTGTCTAGTGCTAGCATAGATAGGTTACTTAGTGATTCTAGTGAGCCCGGGGGTGCCTCGGTGCGGTCCTCAGCTCTTGCTGGTGAGGCTAGCTCTTCGCTAGAGAGCTCCTCTTTGAACCTTTTAGGAGAAATGCCTTTACCTGACGTCGGGCCAGCCCGGTTTGAGGGACCCGAACCTCAGATAAAGCGGTCGACCTCCGGAGAGAGGGTCTCGTCTTCTACTCGAGGTTGGGATCCGGACAACTTCGGCCCTTCCACGATGACCTTGGACAGGTTGTTGTCTTTAATAGCT